TGCATAGTCCACCACGCGTCCCCCTGCGGATTGGCGGACTTCACATATTTTCTTACTATTGTTTTTGTTATTATTTCGAAAATATTTCGAAATATAACGGGTTATTATTTCGAAATATTTTCAGGTTGCAGGTTTGCTCATGATGTTTTCCTTCACCTCTGTGCACGTGATAATTCAGCGCTTAAAATTAATAATTTAATTGGTGCACGGCCGATTGAACTCAGGTTGCTCGAGTATCTTGAATTAATGGCGAGCACCCGGACGTTACGGTGTTCAAAGATTTTGATCCGTGCGAAATTTATTTCTCGGACTCTGCAACGACACTCTCTAGACATTGTTGTAAAGTGACTTTATTGCAACGCATTAGGGAGGTAAGTTTATAACTTTTGCAGTGGCTGTTATAATCAAAATTAATTAACGAATCCGATGAACACACAACACAGTAACACATTACATAGAAATTGGTTTTAAATACTAATAGGAAGTATTGATTTTAAGAGAAATGAACATAATGATGTGTGAGGCACGAGATTAAAAAACCGGTCAAGTGCGAGTCGAACTAGTACGCCGTGACATCTGCTGGATTTATCATTATGTTCATTAATTTATATATTGTTTATGTGTATTTTTATTATTATTAAATATTCAGACAATTCCACGACTTTTCACCTACGTTAGAAGCTAACGTAGTTATACATAGCATCTTCATTTTACTAATATATTTAAAACCAAAAAGAATACATTTTATCGTTTGTTTTGAATAATAACGATTAAATAGTATATTATATATACACTATTGATATTTTATAGGTAACTCGTACTAAATAAATACGCCTATTTCTCACAATTAATAATTTATAATAAATAATCTAACACAAAAGATTTTTTCTGAGTGAGAGTTTTTCTGATGAAACGGTAATATATTACTCAAAGTGCCATGTCGTTTGAAAAATGTGGAAACACCCTAAAACAGGCAACTTTTTCCAACTGAAATAAATAATGTTTGACATTCAATGAATGTCGTACGCCCCATTATCGATATTTTGCCTGTAATTCTTGTTTTATCTCTTTCGTTTATCTAATGTTAAAATATGGTCCAAACAATAATTAATAACAAGCCGGGACGATAGATAGGGCTTCGTTGAAAAAGTTGCAAAGATAAACAGTTGTTAATCAAAATTAATTACATCCATCCATCACTTTCATCTCCAATATGAAAAGTTACGTCTCATGAAAAAACTATTTTCACTTACTTTTGTGGAACACTATTTACATTGACAATTAACTCTTTGTAAAACATCATTTAAAGGTTTCCAACCGACTTTAAAAGAGTAGGAGGTTCTCATTTCGACTGTATTTTTTTGTTTGTTACCTCATAACTTTGAAGTGGGTGAACCTATTTTGGTGATTCTTTATTTATTTGAAAGCCGGTGCTTCCCATGTGTCCCATATTATTTTATTCGTATTTAATCTTGGGCTCCGTAGACACTCAGAGAACTCCTGAAAAAAAACTAAAAAACTACAAAGCCAGATAGTCGAAGTCGGTTTTGTTTTTCGTTAATAAACATAGACTTGTTAAAAATTTAATATTTGTTATCTTTCAATAACCCTGAGAATGTAGCGAAGAAGAAATATTGAGATGGCTCCGTGGCGCAGTCGCCAAGGTATTCGCTGCGACGTCGGGGGTCGTGTGTTCGATTAGCCGACCCATAGACAGTTGTTTCGCATCTGAGTGTTTGTCCACGTGTGAAATTTATGTATGTAAAACTTCCTTGCAACGCATGATAGTGTTATACTAAAGTAAGGGCAATATTTAAAAAAAAAAAACTTTTTTGGCAATTTTTTTCGATAGCCTACGGTGGTAGGGCCACGCAGCAGCCTCGGCTGTTGCACGAACGGGCAGGCCCGTCCGGGTAAGTACCACGACCTCACAGAAGACCAGCGGAAAGTGGAAATATGACAAATACTTTCGCGTTTCGTCTGGTGCAAGAGGTAAACTTTCAAAGCCGCGGATAACAGCTAGTCAAGTAAGAAGAAGAATTATCGTATTAAATTCCTTCATTCGTTGATTTTTAATAAGTCTCCACTGAACACATGGTGTCGTTAGTGCGGCCGGAAATCGTTTATTTGTTAAAAATAATCAATTGAAGCGTGAACCAATTCTCATTTACACCCACACACATTCACGTTTTAAAACATATGTAATTCTATCTAAAAATATCTTTGACTTCACCGCAGAATGTAATATACACTTCGGACGGCTGTATGATGGTGTTTATTATAATCATAAAAGAATATTGAAAAAATGATGTAATAGAATATTAAAATAATAAAAAAAACTTATGTCTATGTAAAAGTAAGATAACAAACATTAAGAATAGAAAAGAAAACAAAATAACAAATAATTAAATTACAAAAAAGTAAAATGTTTGATAAAATTGCACATTTCAGTTTTGACACAAAAATCATTATTTATTTGAGAAAAATTCGTTTATACTGTAATAACATTTTTCTGTTAACATGTCGCGTAGTTTTTTCTTGAATAAATTTGTGTTTAATTCCTTTAGTTCTTTCGGGAGCCTATTATAACGTTTTGGTGCCATGCAGAGTATACTCTTGCTCATGAGTGTAATCATTTTTATCAAAAATTTTAAGTTCATAAACAACGAACTTGTCCGCGAACACACATAAAAATTAAAATTAAATACGGTAAAATATCTTTCCAGTAGTGGGGATCGAAGTCTGGCGCAGAAAGCGGTTGGGCTACGCCACTACGCCATTCAGGGTTCATAAATATATTAGTTGTCGTCAATCCGTCGGCATCTCAAATAATTTTATAATAATACTAATAATATTATAGGGATTTTGAGTCTTATAACATAGTTTGCCTATGGCTGATGTAGATTTAAAAATGGTAAAAAGACCCTAATTTAAAATGTAACTATCTGAAACTTACAAAGATTTTTCCAACGAACTCAACGAAGTCCTATTTCTAACAAAGTGACAAGTTATTAACAAAGGCCGCGAATTTGCACGATATTGTCGCAGCGTAATAACAGTTCTGTTCTTCAACTTATAATAACCATATTAGATTACTACCGTGGCAGGGCCACTCATCAACGTCTGCGGTTGATTTGTACAACTCCGTCGGGTCGTCCGGGGAAGTACCACGCACCCACAGAAGACCAGCGTGAAGTGGAAGTATTAAACTTTCGCGTTTCATCTGCTCACTGAGGTGACCGGCACCTACTTTTTCAAAAGTTGTCAACGCATCTGCAATCGCTCAGGTGTTGCAGTCCATGGGCGGCGGTCTTCGCTTGATATTAGTTGAACTGTCTGGTGGCTTGACAATTTTTTACATAAAACAAGCCCATTCTTTTTATTAAAAAAAAAAAAAAACAAAATCCACTTCAAATATCTCGCTCTTTATTCATTTTATAATTGATTTTCAGGTGTTCCCTAAGAGACCACTATCAAAAACCAATAAAATAATCGTCAATAAAATAAAAAAAGAATCGTCAAAATTGGTTCACGTAGCCGAAAGTTCTGAGGTAACAAACATAAAAACCTTTTTTGAAGTCGTTTATGGTAGGGGTTATAACAACTATTTTCAGAAACATGTACAATTGAAATAGAAACTTTTAGACAAACTGTGATTATATACTACTTGATTCCCATCTCATCTAATGGAAAAAGGCAATAGCATGTAGGAACGATGTACCTCTTCGTTTCAAACGGGAAATGCCGGTAGCAAAAAGATCGAAGCCAGCTTAAAATAGCATCTGTGCGCCCACACTGTATCTGGCGTTATTGAAAACTCACCATGAGTACTATCAATACAAAATTGCTTTCGGCGTAAGTCGCATTGTCAACAACAACACGAAATTGATTCGGGTAGATTATGAAAATTATGTTATCAAATTTATACGCTACAAGCTAATAATATTAAAATTGGTTTATATTTAACCTAGCGTGTGCCTTTCGTCGATAACACTTATCGGATAGAAGATATGAATTGAATTAATCTATATCATTAGTACTTTAAATTGGAACATTATAGAATTGGTGTCATAAATAATATCGATTGCTTACTTTTGGCAAATAACGTTTCGATTTACATTATTAGTATTAAAAGATGATGAATGTAACACTAAAGCTTTAATTAATTATTATTAATATAGAAATGTAGAATGCGGTACCTTTTAACTTTTTTTTATGTAAGAAGTTCGCAATCGTGCTGAGAGTTCACCTGATGTTAAGTGCTAACAGCCACCTATGGACATTTGCAACACCCGTGGTGTTGCAGATGCGTTGTCATCTTTTAATATTGTGGGTCCCAGCTACCTCACTCACCAGACGAAACGCAGATGTGAAATATTTCCATTTCACGCCGGTCTTCTGTGAGGTCGTGCTACTTTGTCCATTCGTGCAACATTGAAAGACTGTTGCGTGGCCCTACAACAACTTAACCTAACTTTTAAAACTCTTGACGTTCGTTTCATCGCAATAGCATGGATTCGAATTTTAAATATTATAAACTAATCTCTAACAGAAACGTTTCCTGGAGATTCATTATTTTAATATCATGAAACTAAAACACAGAACGTCTAAATCTGCGTAAGAGGTTGAACGTACAATACACGATTAAGGATCACTCCAGTATAGGTGTTCGTCGAAGCAACACTATCCAATTGCATTACGAAATATATCTTATATCGTGTCGAATCGAATACACGTGCCGTAAACATTTTAATTAATATCATGAAATGTTATTTATATAAATATCATGAAGTGATAATGTTTGTGCGCTTAAGACATACAATTTTAAAATCGGCGGTGATAAAGTTTATGGAGCTAAGAGAAGTGCTGTGGTGTTTTTCTTTCGAAAGTGCTTTCAATAAAGCAAAACTTGTGTAAATGATACAGTTATTAGAATTGCGACGCTGAATATGAACGTAAGTGCTAATTCTGTTTTATGTATCTACTGTTTGATGGAATAAATGGGTCTGATCTTTCGGGTGAGTACCAAAGCCTCACGTAAGTACGCTGGCCTAAAGTGATGTTTGAATTTAGTTTTGTGAAAGAGGTAGTCGGGGGCTTCCACCTTAAGGTGGCTGCAACAGAAATGCAAACCCGCAGATATTCAAAGGCAGAGATTATCATTTGACATCAATTGAGTCCCATCCTCATTTACCATTTTCAACCATACGTGTGAAAAATAATATGGCTGTGAATGTAGTGAGGATTATGAGTTTACGGCCCATAGAGAAACGTGGAAGACAAGAACATGTACCGACGTCTAGTATGGGATAAAGAAGGAGAAAGTAGAGAACGAAATGATCTCTGTTTACAACGACGTTTTTTTATTTATTTATTTCTTAAGTGAACAATACAACAAACATTTTTATTCGCCAAATTGTGAAAACAATTTATCTGCTACACAATGCACTCTTACATAATTGTCACTTAAATAACAAAATAAAGTTAGCATAGGGGTACACTGGAGTTAAATAATAACAAAGCAATAAAAGAAAAATAAAATAAAAGAAAAACTGGAACAATCTAAGTAATGCTACTATTATAATAATCTATATAAAAGGCCTTTAACTTTCTTTTGAAGATATTCTTGCTTATACAAACATTTTCAGAAAAAATCTCATTAAATATTTTTGGTACAAAAATACCTCTTTCTCCTCATCCCATAATAATTACACATAATAGGCTCCACATAAATTTTTCTGCTTTTATTTCTTAGGCAGTTATTATTATGTTTTAGCTTTGTAAACTCTGACTTATCATATTCCTCTAGGGCTATTAAAAATTTAAAAATTTATAATCAAATTTATTTTTTTTTTTTTCATGTATTGGTAATATATTACATTTTTTAAACAATAACCTATAATCACCGTTATAATCTGATTTACTGCGTTTAGTTCTTACTACGTATGTTAACCATTAATTTTCTGCGTTTGTAAACAATTAATTTTCAGTTAAGTTACTTTAAAACACAGCTATTTAAAAGTTAAAATGCCAACATTAATATTGACAAATATTAAAAGACCTCGTCGAATTAAACCCATTCAGTGAAATCGCAAACGTATCCGTTATGTCTTACATTATATTTTTCTTAGCGTTTGATAATAAATACAAGGCAGTTAATGGCTGTTTTTAATATGCGTTATGGTATATCAACATAGTCAATAAAACATTTTCAAACTAGCATGCTCTCACATAGAAACAAATACAAAAAAATTTGTTCTGAAGCAACCATGCTTTGTTGTTTTTCAAACATTTACTTGCGTTTGTTATTATCTATTAGAGTTAACACTATGAAAGTTTGTGTTTCTTCAACCATATATTTTCTACTTTATCTCTTATCCTTTAAACGAGCAATTCTTGTATATATATATATATATATATATATATATATATATATATATATATATATATATATATATATATATATATATATATATATATATATATATATATATATATATATATAAATTTCGCCGCAAAAAAAACGTTATAATAGCTCGGTAATCGGGCGGCCCCAAAACAGACGTACGCGGTTCGTATCACGATCATTTACACACTAATTTTTTTTTTACATTTTTCTTTCTTTCTTTTTTACTTTTTTTATTTCCAAAATACTTGATGTACCAAAAAAACCGAGCAAAGCTCGGTCCTCCAGGTACTTTTATATTAACTGACTAATATCATAATTGACACTTAAAATGATTGCGTAATGTTAATTTTTGTGTTAATTTTTTTTGTATATAAATAGTTTTTGTTCATTTATCTGCAAAAATTATGCACTAAAAATAAAAATTAATCTTAAAACATATAACAATTTGAAAAATACATCAAATACTTCTCTGGACACGTAATATAAACTTTCATGATCTCCTGACTGACTTTTACAGAAGGTGATTGACCGGTTGTAAAATAATTAAAAGAGCAATTTAGAATACATTAAATATTGCACTGTAAAATTTATGACATAAACAATTTTATCATATAAATTTCCTGTTAAAATTCTTACCAAGTTCACTAAAGTTCGTTAGCTAAATTGTAATTTCCACTTCCTGGTCTTTAATAATATTTTCCCGAATTACCTTACATAATATATAAAGATAGATAATCCAAAAGATTTATATGGATTTCTCATATTTTTCATGGACCGCAAAAAACGACAGTTTTTTAAGCTAAGATCTCATAATTTCATTAGTAGTGTTAAAGCTCACCTTTTAAATATTAAATTACCCAAAACCGACCGATTATTTTTTACGAAGATATCGATTTATAATCAGATGATAAATAATTATATTTAATTAATAATGTTGATGTTACTTATCTAATAGCAGCTATTAATTGAAAAGAGTATAAATTGCACTGAAAGTTTATTACAATACAGCGGCCTTTGGAAATATTCTATTGTAGTGTAAATGTCGTATTATTTGACAATCATTATTAAGAAGTAAAAGTTTTATATACTTATATGAAGTTGAATAATCCACTTATGTGTGGGTATGCGGGAAATCGATGGATGCAAGTGGCTCAAGATCATGCTTAGTGGCAATCTATGGGGGAAGCCTATGTTCTACAGTGGATTTTAACAGGCTAAAATGATGATCACAATGATGAACTCACTCTTATGTGAGTTGGCAACGTACCTACATCTTATCAGGGTTACGGTCCATACCGAACCTCATTGCCAGTTGGTGACATGGGGAGCCATTAGATAATGCACGCATGAGCGGCGTTTCATAGTGCAGAGTGTCGTATCTAGCTTTTGGGATCTGGCTATCTCGCAAGCTCTGCATTCGATGAAACTTTATTAGTCAACGGACTGAAAGCGAAGAAATCAGTTGAAGTAAAGTAAATTGGTACTGGTGGCACCAATGCCCATGGCTGATTTTCATTTAACACCGATTATTCGTTTGTCGTGTACAGTAGAAAAAAAATCAAAGGGTCAGGCTCTTGTTTAGAATTTTATTTATTTTTTATAAGACTGAAGCACTGAATGAGGGAAAACATTCGGCTCAATTTTTTAAAAATTATTTTACTCTGAACTTCAAAACATTATGCGCTTAAGTTAATCTATCATATCATCGCTTTTTTTATGTGAAACGATGGCAATCGAGCTGACGGTTCACCTGATTTTAAGTGACTGAATTTCTTGTTGTCTATACGACTTAAATAACTAACGTTTATATGTTGTGTTGTAATACTCACAAACGTTTCTGTAGCAAGCTCAAATAAATTGTAAAAGTCTGTTATGATAAAACCCCTGTAAGTATCAAATTTTATATGAGTAACATTTATCTTAATGTAAATAAATAGACAAATTCAATGGAATTATTGATTTTACGTAAACTTCAACTTTCATGGTCTTGCAAGAGTTATAAATATCAATTCCCGAAATCCATTAAAACGTGCACATCAAATTCGATCAAAGATTTCTGTTTGAGTGCATAAATTCCATAATTTATAAATTGTTAAACAGTCTGTTCGTCTAATTAAAGCAAATTAAAGTAGTTACATGGTTCTTGTATTTACGCGATTACACATTATAAATCTGCTCCGTGACCATGCTGAAAAGGGTTCGAAACATCGGGAGATAAAAATTAAAAATAAACATTTTCAAAAAAGTTGTAAAAAATTAAAAAAAAAAAATAGTTTCATTGGTAATTACATATTATTGTCGATTTGATATACCCATTAACGACTGGGGATATCAACTCGCAGTAGCCTGTGACGTTTTGGGAGAATTATGTCAAGCTACAGTTACAGATATCTCTATCCATATCTTAACATCTATGTACATATGACTTATGTATAAAATTTAGTCTAAAGCTGTATGTAAAGTATATGGTAAATGTAGATATAAAAATAACGAAAAAAGCAGTTATAAAACAAAAGACAGGCGAAGATAGAAAGACTTTAGAAAAATAAAAAACAGGAAGAATTCGTAAGAAGAAAAATGTAACTAAAGTAGCAAAAAATTTAAGCAAACGAGTGTTATAAAAACGTGGATAAATTCATTCAATACTACAAATATGCTAATGAAGATAAAGCTATATAAAAATGTAGATAAAAGCTTTATAAATAATGAAAATATAATTTAAATAAAGTTGTACCTGTGTTGTCATGTCTCGAAGCTAAATGTTTTGCTTTTAGCAAATAAGGAAATATAGTACTGAAGCCTCCAAGTTGATATTGAAGTTAATAATGCTGTTATTAATTACAATTCTGTTATAAATTTATAAATAAATTACTCAAAACATTGGATACTTGCTTCTGGCCAATCTAGTTTTATCTCAGCGATGTGTATACAGGTTTCGTATATTGGAATATGTTGTCTGAGTGTCTGAGTGATTTTTCAACTAAATGTTGTCTGAGTGTCTGAGTGATTTTTCGTTCAAATTGCATATAAACGGCGAAAACGGCAATGAAGAAAGACATAGTCAGTTTACACGTGACAAGCGAAGCCCATAATTTCTCTTATTATTACTGTATTATTTTATAGTTGAAAAATTAAATCGATTACTCATCTAAACTTGTTCAAGATAATATAAATGGTTCGTGATAGGGCCTTAGTCTAATAATCTGCATGAGGATTTTAAATTTATTTATAGTAAGCATATGGTACTTTTCATTGCCATGTCGAGAAGAATTTAAATCGTTTGGCTGTTCGATCCGGTTGAAAATAATTTCAACATTCGAATGTTTACTTTGATGTATGTATATAATAACATAACGTATTAAACGCATAATCTGACAGACATAATTCAGACAAGAACTATAAACATATTTTAAAACCAGATCGAACGCCGTTCTCCTTCTATAACATTTTAATAGAAATATCGGAGTAAGTTTTACGCAATAAAACGAACAATTTTATATGTAAAATGTTTAATATTGTTAAAAAATTATTGAAAACAACTTAAATTACCTATATGAGATATCGCTACGTACCCTTGTTGGGTTTCACGGGGACTTGTGACATTTTATATTTTTGTCCACTCATAACGGCCAAGTTTTTAAAACTTACCACAAATAACGATGTGTATCTCTTACTGTAACAACTAATGCTGCACAGACATCATTAGTTGATCAAGGTCTTTTTAACAAATTTTGTTAAAAAGACCTTGATTTCAACTAACCGCTTAGCACTCTAAAACACTCATAACCATTAAGTATTAGGTTATTGTGCAGCATTAGTACAAAGAGCTAAAATGGATCTCTGTAATGAAAGCCTACAAAAAGGTAGAAAACGTCTGTAACGAAGAGATCATAGTTTAAACTAGCAATTTGGAGAAGCTCACGTGCACCTTTTGATCAAAGCGTGTAATTATTATTAAAAGTATTTTTTGATTTCTTATTATTGCTCCCAAGAAATAGAAAGCTATTGTTTTGTCTAATATCATAACAGTATTTATTTACAAACGTACTTTAGGAAAGGCAATGGTCGGTAAATGATAGCTGAACACTATAAGAAATATAAAGTCATCGCTAAATTAACCATAACTTCATTTCAATAACTTTATAAAACTTTTTTCTGGAACAGTTCATGTACAAGAACATAACATTCAACAGTTAATAACGTTCAACTTGGAAAAAGATGGGTCTTTAAAAAAAAAGATCTTGTTAAATAAGTAACGGTACCACTGAAACTAACTGTCTGTCTTGTGTCTCACGAAAGCAGATGAAAATTCTTACTTCACAATGCGTGTCTGTTGAAAAAAGGAATCTAGTAAATCTTTCAGCGAGTTGAGTGTTTACGAGATACGGCGGTGTAATGTTCTGTATGCGTAATGCATGCGTAAGGTGCCGGGATGTTTTTATAAAACGAGATATATTGCACTCATCAATTAGGTTTAAAAAAATTCCCGAGTAATAAATAGGCCAAATCACGATTTTTCAATTTACCCTAGAATTATTTAGAATTGTTCAAAGTAATAGTGTAAGTTCATTACCATAAAAGAGAATCAAAAGGTTATCTTGTAGACTAAATAAAAATCTATTATTATGATCGCTTATAATAAGCAGAAATATTCAATGTATTTTGTAATTCAATAATGAATTCTTCTCAACCTCTTTAACTGATAAAAATAATGTCTGTTATGTTTCACTGTTGATTGAAATTTTAATACGAACGCGGTCCTTGATGCAACCCAGATGATAGTTCTTTTTTTTTGAATGTGAAAGTTGCCATACGAGCAGACGGTTCACCTGATGTTAAGTGAATGACGCCGCCCATGGACATCTGCTACACCCGAAGGTTGTACATGCGTTGACCTTTTGAAAATTGGGCTCCCGCCACCACACTCACCAGACAAAACGCAAAAGTATTGAACTTCCACTTAACGCCGGTCTTCTGTGAGGTCGTGGTACTTACCCGGACGAGCCTGCCCATTCGTGCAACAGCCGCGGCTGATGCGTGCCCCTACCACCGAAAAACAGTAGTATTTAGCACTATTACCGTACGTGTCGCTATGAAAAGTTTTTCAGTTTATATATTCCTGATAATGTTTATTGTGGTCGTTGCTAAAATCTTAATAAACATCCATTAAAAATTATTTAAGTATGGAGAAACGGCTGCTGAATGGATAGACCGACTTAGCATGGTCCTACCATGGCTTGATAGGAGATCGACATTTAGTAAAAGCATGAATAACATTACGATTCATTTAATTAGGTTACAGATTTTAATTTCATTGCATCTGGTATTACTGATGTCCCTAGGAGGTAACGATCAGTTAACGTTACGTATCCTTTACCCACATTTCCGTATAAAATATTTGTTTTGTCTCAAAATAATCTCTTGCCATCTCTTTGTTTATTCTCAACATCATGTTTAAAAACACCTGGAAGAATATTACCTTGTTATTATGTCCAACTAACACTAAACTCATAGATTTGTTTATATGATAAAAACAACTCTCATTTGCAGGTTATGAGTTTCGGAAACTTGAGTGATTTATTGTATAACCATTCTGCCGATTCAGACTTCACAAATCCAGATTTTTTTGTTACTTTCTACGATGTGGACCAGAACGAGTACGTCAATAGTAGTGGAAATTATACGGAGGTAAATGTATTATTGACACACATCCTGTAAGATAAAATACATGTAATTAATCAACATTGCAGTTTTCAAAAAAATTCAAAACAGTCCCACTGAGTTTTATAATTGAATATAATTGAGATGAGATGATTTGATCTGATTACGGTCTTAATTAGGCACTTTCAATTTATTTTAATTGTACCATTTGTAGGTTTTTGCTTGACCATCGAGTTCGAGGTAAAGTATGCATTTAAATAGTAAATTTATCGCCTTAAATTGTACATTATACCTCGTATAATAATTTGAACTCCTCCTGAGTTTAAGGGAACAACCGGACACTGAGGTACCGCGTTTATTGAAAGTACCGACTAGACGGTTTTAAAAACGTATTGAATCGTATTATTTTTAACTATTCGTCTACCTTTCCTATAAAAAATCTGAGTTTTTTTTTTTTATTTACCGTGTGTTCATCAAAATCATTAATAGTAACCGGTACATTTGATAAATTCGTGACATTATTCTCGTACATTCATTTAAATAAATAACTTGAATGAGATAAACATTTTTGTTATTATCTCGGAAAACTTTCAAAACTTGTTAACATAAAATTTTCAAAAAAAGGTATAAATGGAGGAAGTTCACGTGTGATCTTTTCAATTTTTAGGAATACCAGCCCTTCGTGCTACCTCTATGGCGTCAGATTCTGTGGACTGTTCTTTTTGGCGTCATGGTCGTCATAGCAACTGTCGGCAACGTCCTTGTCATTTGGATAGTCATCGCGAACAGGCGGATGCGGAACGTAACAAACTACCTCCTAGGTCTGTACTGAAGTTCATATATTTTTACCTAACGTCGAATCAATGGGATAGACTAAAAGGAACATTCTTAAAGGTTTTGTAATGTTTTATATTTCTCGTGTTTTAACATTAAAAAGAATTACACTGATATTTCGTTACTTTTTAGTATTAGTGATCAGATGTTTTACGACGCTATATGAGATCGGTAAATTTTGTGGAATATTTATTAACTTTAAACATTAAACTGTGCACTGGTCGTAAAAATAACGGGTTACGTGGAAAAATCGCGATATCTCCCGAAGTTGTTTAAATTTACCGCTCGTATAATTGGTATGTTGTAAGTAGATCAGTAATGCTTATTACAAATCTAAAAACAAGGTTAATTTGTACAAGTTATAGCAAAACTACAAAAATAAATTTGTTGCGTAAAAAAATAAATAGACACTGTCACTAGTCACTATAAACAATTTCTTGGATTGCTCATTGTAATCAGCGCAGCATCATATCACTTTTGTCTGAAGAATCAACATTGATTATTGGTATGATACAAGAAGTAAGCGTAGTACTGTTGAGAAATAGGAGTACCCTTATCTACGGTCTAAGGAGTAGATACTCCAGCGATATCAAAACATAGGCAAGATCATTATCTTTATTTACACACAATGGGAAAGCCTAAAAACTAACTTTGAAAGAATTTTTAAAGAATATTCAAATATAAAAAGAATATTCAATCAATCAACTAATGTACGTGATTGGCTACAGCTTCGTAGTGCGCCGTAAACCGACGTAATGTTCGGATTTATAAAACTCACTAACAAAACAAATGCGTTTACGAACGATTATGTTTGCATTTCAGTAAACCTATCTATTGCGGATGCAATGATATCGACGCTGAATGTCACGTTCAACTTCATTTACATGCTGAATGAAAACTGGCCGTTCGGATATTTCTATTGCAAGTTCAATCAGTTTATCGCTGTGGTCAGCATATCTGCTTCCGTCTTCACCTTGATGGCTATCAGCATAGATCGGTAATATTTTTATTTAAAAAGTCAAAAGTGTTCAAAAAAATACAAACGACAACGAAAGTATCCGAATCTTAAAAATTATGTACACAGACCGCATAGAGTTATACATTCTATAAAGCATTAAATTATATATTTTCTTGGGCTAGCTAAAATTCAGAGGCTGCATATGACACGAGCGTGTCTGTTGAAGATGGTATTAAAACCTGATAGATAAATAATTAATAACCCTTTCCATACGCATTTAATTTATGAAGGCATCTTGTATTTATCCGAACGCGGCAGTAATGCTACAAATATTTAAAAAGAAAATACCACTGAAAATTTTATTTAAAAAATTTTAGCGCCCAAACGAACTTCCACATAGAATTCCAAGGCGGTTGTGTAAGAAACATATGAACCAGGAAACATTCACTGGGCATACCCAAATTGCTGTTAAGAATGATTCAGTTCTGAATAAATATTCATTAGCTTGGGTATGCCCAGTTTTAAAAAGTTGTTGATTTGCACTGAAAAGAAGAAAGGTTTGTGCCGCCGCGCGCTCGACGAGTAACAGTCAAAAAGTCAATGACACTTGAAAGTGATACATTTTAGATAAAAAATATGTCGCGTTTTATATTCCACTTGACCGCCCGAGCGCCGCCATTACTTTGTAGCTAAGCGAGTGATTTGTCTGGTCTTTACTAATCCAATTGTTATTCAAACCTCTTGAATCTTGAATGTTTTAACCTTAAATGTTGATGTTTTTAGCTATATGGCCATCGTGAACCCCTTACGGCCTAGATTGGGCAAAAGAGCAACGGTCGTCATTGCAGCCACCATTTGGATAAGCAGCGCACTGATTGGAACTCCGAATCTCGTGTTTTTTATTACTGATTATTACGTTTTGCCCGATGGAAATATCAGGTAAAGGTAACACATATTTATGTATTCACATTGAATAAAATATATAACAACCTTTAGATGGTAAACACTTAGGCCCAAACATAATATCAATAAAATTATATTTAAATATACAGCGCTTAATTTTACAGTTTGATTACATTGCTATTTTGCACAGAGTACATGACATTTTGATCGATTCATACTAACATGATTTTAGTATGAATAAATCAAAATGTCCAGTAGCTGTTTTCAGGTGAACTTTCGGACTAATTGTCAACCCATTTTTCATATCATTTCAGACAACTATGTTATTCAGAATGGCCGGATGGAATTACCACTAGATCTGTAATTGAATATGCGTGAGTAATGCTATTGCTGATGGGTTGGGATATATTTGTCTGTTATTTTTTATTAATCGTGCATAAATAACCAAAGTCACTTTGTTCTTTCCTGCTAACTGTACATTAGTAAGCGAAGAATACATTAATATAATATGTACTCATAAAATTGGAACATTGTAAATAAACAATGAGGCACTCTAATCGTTGCATCTCTGTTTTATAGGTACAATGTAATTTTTATGATGCTGACGTATTTTATACCCATAATATCTCTGACATACACGTACGCTAGAATCGGTGCGGAGCTCTGGGGCTCCCACTCTATAGGAGAGAGTTCCCACCATCAACTGGACAACGTCAAAAGCAAGAGACGGGTAAATCAACTAATGTTTAACGAACTTCTAAAAACGCAAGGTTTGAAAAGAATACAATAGGAATTACAACTGTTCTGCCTATTTCATAGCATTTGACATTTAATGGTGTAATTTATTTATTTAATGGTGTAAGCAATTTGAGAGTTATTTAGTAGTGAATACGTCTCTTTGAGAAGAATATTTCTATTAAACGAAATATATAGACATTTTATTTCTTTATTAGTGATAAATTCGACTCATTGCATTTTGCGTAGCAAAGAAGCTCAATGAAGTTAAAACGATTTAAAACGTTATTATAATATAAATAATGATAAGACCATATATGTCAGCTCTGTGACTAAATGTTAAGACAATGATAATTTTTCAGGTCGTAAAGATGATGATTGTGATCGTAATAATATTTGCGGTGTGCTGGCTGCCGTTTCACACGTACTTCATCATCACATCAAATTACCCAGAAGTGACGAAATATCCACCAATACAAGAGATTTACCTGGCCATATACTGGCTAGCGATGAGTAACTCGATGTTCAACCCGATGATTCTCTACTGGATGAATTTTAAGTAAGTATCAAATTGAAAGTAACATCCTATACATGTCCCACTGCTGGGCAAAGGCCTCCTCTATACAGAGGGTATCAGGGCATAGTCCACCACGCGGCCCCACTGCGAATTATCTTCGAAATATATTTTTATTGTTGTTATTATTTTTTTGTTGTAATATGCAGGTTTTCTCACGTGATAAGTCAGCACTTAAAGTTAAAACCTTCATTGGAGGAACCGAGAATCGAACTCAGGTTGCTCGAGTATATTGAATTAAAGGCGAGCGCTCGGACACTGAGCTATCGCGGCTAGGTGCCAGACCTATACATATATAGAAGTCCTTCATATGAGTGAGTGGGATGAGTTCGCGGTTGCGCCTCATCTTGCACTGACAATATTAATTGTCAATAGATGCATTATCATAGATTCTATTAATGAAATTTTTAAACATTTTTTATGAAGAATTTTTGAGTATTTCTTATAAATATAAGTAGTATTTCTTATAAAATTGTTATATATACAGCGTTTTTCGTTACCACCGCGACAGTAAATGAACACACATATAGAGGATAACTTTTTAAAATTGTATTAAACATTTACATTCTTTAAACATCAATATTTACCGTGTTATTAAATTTTCCATAACAAACAATTTTAGAACATCCTTGCGTATAAAAGTGTAACGTAAAGTTCATTTGTAAAGGTCACAAAGCATATGAATGGGTTGAATGTATTTAAAAGAGACAAAACATACTGTTAGAAGGAGAGGCTTGTAATGCGTAGCTGTGGCGCGAGTTGTATAGGATGTTACAAATTTTGTTTCCTTTTTACTTAATTAGTTTGAAAAATAGTTTTTTTTAATTATGGATTTTGTTTAACGTTAATATTTTTTTCTGATTATTGGCAAGTAGCGTTAGACGTGTGTTCATTTATTGTCGCGATGGTAACGACACGCTGTATATTATCTTAGGATACTACTAATTTATTCACATATATTTAGTAACTTTGCATTAACATGAAATTCTGATTTTGAGGGTTTGCTGAAAGAAAAATCTTTTAGGGTCAACGTCGGATGCTGGATGTGCAATAAATCAAGGTTTTTGCAAGTATTAACATTAACCAAGATAGGTGTAAAATGCGTTAGTGGCGTGTTTTATTCGTCTCTATTTAATATGAAATGGATTATTATTTCTAGCTTTATATAAATTTTATCATTAGATATCATATATATTTTATATGCTATAATTAATTTTTGAGTGGAATTTAATTAATAATAACAACCCTATTATTCAATATCTTTAATGAAGATAATATAAGGTAGTAATGTACCCAATCTTCGCGTAACTCGAAATAATAGTGAGACTATTACATAATATGTAATATTTGACTTTTCAAGAATTGATTTTTGTTAGTTTTTCATAAACATTTTCAAGACGTATTTTATGTTTTAGGTTTCGAAGAGGATTTAGGCAATTCCTTAGATGCTGCTGCTCCTGTGGCGATAAAGACGCTCGCAGGCAAAGCATGTTCGAATTGAAAAATCTGGACAGACTTTCATATTCACCGACACCGAAAAATGGAACAAGTAAGATACTTAGCCTCTCGGGTCTCTTGTTCTACTATTAATTTAAAATAAAAACCTTTTATAAATGTGAGTTTTTTGTAGAAAAATTGTCGAAAACTTTTAGTCGCCACGGGATTCGATCCTGGGTCTTCCTCCGACAACGTTCACAGACGACTGATGAACTCAGGGCGTCACTATCTTGACATCTATATTTTTCTATTTTTTCATTTTTTTAATGTGAAAAGTTGACAAGCGAACAGGCGGTTCACCTGATGTTAAGTGAATACCGTCGCCCATGGACATCTACACCCGAGGCTTGCAGATGCCGTTGACAACCTTTTGAAAATTGGGCTCCGGCTACCTCACTCACTAGACGAAACGCAAAAGTATTTGTTATACTTCCACTTTACGCCACTTCTGAGGTCGTTGTACTAACCCGGACGCCTGTAGCCTGCCCATTCGTGCAACAGCCGAGGCTGCTGCGTGGCCCTGCAACAGTATTGTGTTTAGCGCCATCTAGTTTGTGTACTTTACAACATGAATCACCTTTCAAGCAACATTTAATAATGAATATTTGAAGTGAAAGATGACTTTACTATTCAAATTTATGATTAATTTTATTCTTATTACTACTATCCGCAGTCAAGATGAAACTGAAAAGTAAATAGTAGATGGTGTAGATAGATAAAAAGATAAAGGTTGTGATGAAAACTGTCGCTAGGGATTATCAAAAACAAATTACTGTTTCTTGTACATTGTTTCGTTTTCTTTCCTAGGTTTATTCAAGGTTTCAAGTAAAACAAAAAGTAAAAATCAACCCAGTTCCCCAATTTGAACGCTAATAAAAGTGCTAATCCATGCAAGGGTAAAGAATTTGTATAGACCTTTGAGTACTCATTTACAAAACCCAGCCTGTCAATGTTCTTTCGTTGTTGTTGATCGATGTGAACAGTTGTAGTTAGAAGATTTGCTTGTTTGTAATTGTTGGGTAGTTTGTTTAATCTTAACTCTTTGGACCGCCCGATTGCATCGTGTGTTTTTGATTTAACTTTTTTATGTAATAATAATTTATCACGAACTAATTAAAATGAAATTTTTACAAATAATCAAATGACTTTCTTCTCTTTTCTAGGTACGGTGTCAGTTTCAGTACAGAGCATTAATAATAACTTAATCGAGTTGAATAGTGCAGCAGCAACGTGATGCTATAACATATGTGGAATAAGATCTAAAACCTTATTCTGTAATGACCAGTCATTAGAATATTAAAAAGAAAAAAAAACTTTTCCACACACATGAAAATAAGTCAATTACTTTTATTACGTTCATTATTTAAAATTTATACCATTACATTTATTACTTATCCTTTGTGACATAGTTTAAAAATCAAAATGGAAACCTATTTCCAGTCAACATATATTTATTTCCAACTGTTGCGGGATGGTTGCCATTCCGAACGATATTTTGCTTGAATGTCATGCACGCTGCGCTCTCTGTTGGAGCTAAGTTAAGCATTCAAGACCGTCCGTGGTATATTGTAAGTACACGGCAACCAGGTAGTAATTGACAACCGGTTTACAAAAGTAATAGGAGTATCTCTCTTCTGGTAGATCCCAAAGTCGTGAGGAAAGAGAAAATCGTGCAATCGTTTCGCGAGGAACGCATGATGGAGGATGCTAACCAAAAAAAATTCGATGGTATCGATAGTTTTTCATGGTATGACGCGTTGTGTGGTGAAACTAAGTAGCAGATAAATAATCCGAATTCCTCAGAGTGCTCGTGATAAATGCTATAGAAAATTCAAAGAGACGTAATACATAAGACTCCAGCAAGGAAAAGGTTTGACGCGATAGGAGATGGCGATGGCTACGTTAAATGCAATCGAATGGAAGAACCTCGTATTGAGGAGCTCAAGGATTGCTCCAGTCTTGTTTTAGGACAATGACCTTTTGAAAAGCCATATTAGCTTTCTCTTCCCAGTGAATACTAAATTGAACGTTATCCGATATGTCATCGCCAAGAACTCCGATTGAATTTGTGGTAACAAGGAGAGTAGCCTCAAAAAAGTAAGATGGGACGAAGGGTTTCGACATTACGTTAAACGCTGAAAACTGCGACTTAAAAGAATAAACAAGAATCAATTTAGTTGGCATGAATCAGAGCCGCTTAGCAATACGATACAGTGGTTTATATTACGAACAAAATATATGTTAAGAGAAAAAGTAACAAACGATATAAATATTAAAATTCCCAAAGCATCTATTCTAATTTAGTCTTATTATTTCAATTTACACAATTGCCAGCTTGGCTTTTTTATTTTTATTACATATCTTAGTGACACTCTTTTCATTCATTCGGGTTTCTTCTTCTCCGACGATGAAGAGTTGTAGGTGGCGAATGATGGACATTTTTCAGACAAGGAAGAATAATATTTTAGAGGCTATTGAACCGTTACTTTCATGCTCAAATAGATGATAGGGGATTAGATTGAAAAATAAATATTATTCAGAATTTTCTGCTTATTCTTTCATGCCTATACCGAGAATACAATGAACACCCCTCGTATCAATAAATATATTAATGCAAAATATGAAGTCAAATATATCGAATAGGAAATATTTTTAGACGTAATTTATTTTTATTGTTCTAAACCTTTTGTAAAGCTCGCTAGGGCGGATGTCGGTTGCGCAGGCGATAAGGGTTGTATCCTTGATTACCAACCAGAGTGAAACAATGGCGAAGGGCACTATGTAGTAGTCACGTTTTCCCTTATAAAAAAAAGGATGTTACAAATTTTGTTTCTTTTTTATTTAATTAGTTTGTTCGATAAATATATTTTTGTAATTATGGATTTTTAACGTTTTATATTTTTTTATGATTGATTATTGGCAAGTAGCGTTAGACGTGTAAATGAACATTTATTGTCGCGGTTGTAACGACACGCTGTATACCTCTTATATATGAGTTGACGTCAATTAGCTGCTAACAACGAATTACGGTACCGCAACTGCTAAAAACCACTGACCATTTGTGACCATTTCGTGACCAAATCGGACTACTTTTTTAGAGTTCAAATTTAATCATTTGCTCATTTGCTTCCTTTTCCATAAAAACATATCTGAGAGTAAAGTATCAACTAAACTTTATAATGCTAAAAAAATTCATAGAGAATTTCAAAATCTATCTCTTGAACTTTTCAAACAGTTTCATTGTTTGCGGTGAATACATAAAGTTATAAATAAGTTAATATTAGCATAAATAAGTTATCTTACTACAGACACTCAAAATTTTAACTGTGGTAGGACCACGCAATAGTCTACGCTGTCGAATGGGCAGGTCGTGAAGTAGAAGACAGTGAGGTAGCCGGGGCCCACCTAATTACAATTTTGCTACCTTTTAATCGCATCTGCAACCCTACGGGTGTTGCAAATGTCAATTGAGCGGTTGTTATCACTTAGCATCAGTAAATGTCCCGCTGAGTTTCTTACGCCGGTTCCTCTCAGGTCAGTGGCTTTCCTTCCGAACCGGTAGTAGAGTTTTTTTTTACTATCAATAAGTGTAATGCTTCAATATTGAATAAAGATATTTGTCTTTGAAACAAATTACTGCTGTTCGTTGTTTAGGAACAAAGTATGTAAGGTTGGTGTGATTATTTACTATACATTTTCCTTAAAAAAGCTTATTTATGATGAAATAAACAACTAATATACATATATCTATAAATCTATAAACATGAAATCTAATCTCATTCATACATTGTGAAACCTGTGACATTAAAAAGCTAAATAATTAACGTTGATAAATATTAAAATAATGAAAATGACTACATTTAAGGAAATATCAATCAAGAAAATGTTAGTTTAGACTCTTCAATAGATAATTGTTATTGCATCAAAGTACAAAGATGTGGAGTTCGTAAAGCCACTAGTAGACTGACGATACAGTTTGGACGGAAACCAAAAACTCGGCTTGTTTGGAATACGGCCAGTGAATACTGCATACCGCAATGTACAGTGTTCGCATTCGTTGCGACATCCCGTGACAAGATAACGAGAAAACGTTGTTTCCGGTACAGTTTATAAATTGTACCATAAAATGCGTCATCAAGTGAGTTTTATAATCATTTGTATTTTTTTATGCTTACAATATTTTAACTTTCATTTGTGCTAATCAATGTTAAGTACATAGATTATCGCTATAAACATTTAAAACATTGAAAATTTGTAGAAAAAAGGACCAAAATTTTCTCACCGCTGCCGCGGGAATCGACCTCCCGTTTCGCGTCCTGACGAATTATTGTAAAATTATATTTTAAATTGTTTATAGGCTGTAAAGGTTATGTCTATGACAATTGATGCGCCAAGCATTGCTTTGAAATGCGACAAAAAAATAATGTAAATAAAAAGACGTTGAGACTTTCTTTGATGAGCCAATTAGCCGCTTAGGGTGGTCTCTCAGCACGAATCGAAGAGACCTTTCACCCTTTTTTCTAATAATTTTAATGTTGCATTGTCTTCTCTATTTCTGCAGCTTGTATTGCCTGCTATTGTACATAATTCTTGAGCTACGAATCACTTTTGAAAGAAATTTAGAATTTTTTCAAATTTAAAAGGAATGTCTTCTAATGTTAGAAACAAAAAATATTTAATACTTAAATAATCTAATGGATTTTTAGTAAGATGCAGTGGGGAACGACGCGACGGCTAATACCAAACAATTAAATGAATGAAGCTATAATTCGTTAATATACCATTTAAATAAGTACTTTTGCAAAGATGGCTTTAAGTAATAATTAATTAATGTGTGTAACGTATAATAAATGAATTGATATGCTTTATTACTCTTACATATATTTTTTTTTTTTTAAAAAAGTAGGTCTTACCTTAGGATGACATTATCCTGTGTCGTAAGAACGTTTTAAAAAACATAAATTTCACGCGGACAAACTCCCAAATGCGAAACAACTAACTGTGGGTCACACAAATAGTTGTCCCGTGTGTGGATTGAACCCACGACCCACGACGCCGAAGCCAATAACTTGGCAATTGCGCCACGAAGAACACATTTATAAAAGAGCCTTGACTCCCAAACTACTTTCAGGGTAACGTTTTTTTTTTTTTTTTTATGCGAAAAGTTGTCAAACGAGCAGACGGTTCACCTGATGTTAAGTGAATACCGCCGCCCATAGACATCTGTTACACCCGAGGGTTACAGATGCGTTGGCAACCTTTGGAAAATTGGGCTCCGGCTACCTCACTCACCAGACGAAACGCGAAAGTATTTGTGATACTTCCACTTTACGCTGGTCTTCTGTGAGGTCGTGGTACTTACCCGGACGGGCCTGCCCATTCGTGCAACAGCCGAGGCTGCTACGGGGCCCTACCACCGTAGAATTACACTAATAATAATTACAAAATTCGCATTTATAATACGAAAGATTTGGTATTAATGTTTATATAAAACGACATTAGACATATTTTTGCGGGGATATTTCATTTCGTAGGTTGCAATCATAGCTTCACACACTAAAGCTGTGTATCCAATATCCCACCCACATGCGAATGTTAACAAAACTACTTTTTATTTACCACACCCGGGTCACAGATAAAAATTCAGATCAATATTCCTTATAGTAGGGAATATTTTGTGTGGAATCGGAACGGTGCTTTATAACAACCACCCAAGTGCAAGTGGGACTCAAGCACGAAGGGTTCCGGTGTCTATTAAAACGGCAAAAAAAAAACATATGTGTTGTATGGGAGCCTCACTTAAATATTTCTTTATTCTAGTATTGTTACATACATCATCTGTGAAAATTTCAACTTCCTAACTGTCAAGTTTCACGAGATACAGCCTGGTGACGGACGGACAGACAAAGGAGTCTTAGTAATAGGGTCCCGTTAAACCCTTTGAGAACGGAAGCCTAAAAAGGACAATGTCAGCAAACTTACATTTAGTCGAATTATAATATTGTTACTGAAATCTTTTGTATGCACAAATCATTTTGAATTAACCAATCATACCATTTACTAAAACTATATCGCTTAATGTTACACTCTAAGACGGAGCTACCATTCAAGAGCAGCTGACGTAACATTATTTTATGAATGTCTTAAATCTTAAGAGATTCGCATCGTCATTTATCATCCGTACGGCTAAGGAATGGAAAAACCTGCCGGCGTCGGTCTTTCCATCCGATA